GCAGAAACAAGTTTTGAGCACAAGGAGAAAGGTTTGAGAAAGCTCAGTGAATATTTGGAGGAGAGCAGAAGTTTTGAGTACAAGCATTACAAGTTTAAAGAAGAAAGACATGAAGTTCTGCTCTCAAACTGAAAATGTAAGCACAAGTATTAAAAGTTTTGAGAACAAAAAACATGCAACATTCAGACAGAAAATGTGTTCTCCAAAATTCCCCTATATTTCTCCATGTTTGGTTCTGGGGATAAAAATAAGAGGAAACGACTCGAAAGATAATCTTAACAAATAAATGATTAATATTGCACGCTGAAAATGCAAAGACAATATATTTGTGACATATAGTCCTGTCAACTAATTACAACTAAAGGTAGATGTAAAAGAAACTGTCAGTGTTCTGGAGATATTAACACAAACTCATGGTTTCAATTTCATGTGTTTTTTGTTGCTTGAACTGTATCTTATTGCACTTTTAGAAGCAACTGATTGTGTTGTAAAGTCACTGGTGTTTCTGTCTCTTTGTCTCAGGAGTTCACATTGTTCAGCACATGTATGGCTGTGAGTGGGATGATGAGGCTGCAGAGGTCAAAGGTTATGATCAGTTTGGTTATGATGGAGAAGATTTCATCACACTGAACCTGGAGACAAAATCCTGGATTGCTCCAACCCACCACGCTGTCATCACCAAACTGAAATGGGACAATAATGTAGCTTTTGTAAAGAATGAGGAGTCCTACTTAACTCAGATTTGTCCTGAGTGGCTGAAGAAATATGTGAATTATGGGAGGAGCTCACTGATGAAAACAGGTATTACAAACGTTATGTAGTTTGAAATACACAACTACATTTATGTGTGAACCTTGTTTTGTATGAAAATGTCTCCATCACTTTTTTCAAGCAGTTATTGGACTTTGCAACATGTTTTTACTACGTTGTATCATTATCATTTTCCTTCCACATTAGACGACCTTGTACCAACCTTTCCCTGTATTTTGAAATGTAATTGGTGTAAATAAATTCGCTACAAACAATTTATGTTTTTATTTATGAAGGATTTAAAAATGTTTGCTTTATTTACTCTGCAGAGCTTCCCTCAGTGTCTTTGCTCCAGAGGTTTTCCTCCTCTCCAGTCAGCTGCCACGCTACAGGTTTCTATCCTGACACAGCAGAAATGTCCTGGAGGAAAGATGGAGAGGAGATTCATGATGGTGTGGAAAAAGGAGAGATCCTATCCAACCATGATGGGACCTTCCAGATGAGTATCAACATTTATCTGGAATCTGTTCCACCTGAAGACTGGACCAAGTACGAATGTGTGTTTCTGCTCTCTGGAGTCGAGAGAGACGTCATCAGACTGGAGAAAACCAGAATCAGGACCAATGAATGTAAGTAGTTTGTATAAATTGCCTCATGTAGACAAATATATACGTATTACAATATTCTGTCTGCTTTACTTGTGTTTTTAGATTTACATTCAGTTTTAGTGTTATTCTACTATTACTATCTACTTCATTTGTTTTTATTGTTAATCAAAACCCGTTTTTAACAAAAACTTTTATTAATTTTGAGGTTTTAGGTTTTGTTAGACTTTCTATAACCATTCACTGCATTACTTAATTACCATCTTTATAAAATTTGCAAAATCTCTGTGTATTATAATTTACTTAACATCTAACAATTATTGTTGCTGTAAGAAAACCAGAACAAGCGAAAGATGAACAAAACTAAAACCTGGTTTTAGTGTTTAGACAAAATGTGATGAAAAGGATTAACAAAACTTTTCCTCTGGATGAATGTGACCTGGTTTTTCTTCTCAACAGTGAAAAGCGTCTCAACAGTGACCCTGTCGTCCCTGTTGTCGTGGTTTTCCTTTGTCTCATTGGCTTGATTGGATTCATTCTTTACAAGAAGAATAAAGGTGAGAGACGGATATGGTGTTTTCCTTTCTTGTGTTTTGATTGTTGTTCTTTACCCAGTGAGAATTGGCCTTGGTCAAATGTTAAAGCTTTATATAAACCTAATTTAGAGATGAGTTAATGCCATGTCCATGTGTAACTTTGAATAGACCTATATACTTCATCTAGGTTTAGACCACAAAAACTGAAAATTATATTTAAAAAAAATACTATAAACCCTCAAATCAAAGACGGCTTAATTTGATTCAAGATGAATAAACTTCATCCTTTTTACAGTTGTGATATAGTGAAAAAAATGAGAATACTGGTAAATATGATGAGATATTAATTGTCCTGTACTGGAAGGTGAAGACATGCATTTCATTCTAAACATGTAACATTGTTCATATCTGGGACACAGAACTCGTCTCCTTACTGAGCAGTGTAACGGTTGGCCTTTCCCTTCGTGTCTTTACTTGCATAAATTAACAGATTAACGAGGCATTTCAAGCATCAGAACCATAATTCTCTTCCTGATATCTTGACTGATTTCTTTTGACCTTATCATGTCAAACAAATCAGTGTGTTTCAGGTGTGGCTTTGAAATAAGTAAAAACATCCACAGGTGTGACTCCAATTAACTCAAATGTATCAGTGAGCCTATCAGAAGTTTCTAAAGCTTTATAGTATAATAAAATCACCTGACCTTCCCTCATTGTTTAAAGAGTTAGTGCTCATTCTGTATGTAAACTTTTTACTTTGAAGATGTTAATAGATTAATCTCTGACATATTTTGTCTCTCAATATTGTGATATTTGGGAAATAGAAATAATTTTGGCAGTTCTGACCTGAAACAAGATAAACTGGGTTTGCTGTAACTCTAGACAGTTAGGGGACAAAGGACTGTCTTCTTATTTGATGTCTGTAAGATTTTTGGCTTCAACTGTTGGATAGTAAGATGTATTTTGAGCAGGACATTTGATGAATATATGTGAAACAGAATATAAGTTCCAAGTCAGAATAATTCATATTAGATTTTAATTGTTTTCAATATTATTAAATAATTTATATTTAACTTTGTCTGGAGAGGGACAACTACAAGTTGTTCTCAAATATCAGATAATCTAAAGGTACAGAGGTAATAGTAGATGTTTAAACTGATATTGTGTGGTTGTCAAGTATAATTAATACCATAATACCTTATTTGTAGAGTTAGTGAACAGATTTAAGATAATTATATTAAACATAATTATTTAATCTGTTGCTGTCAGTATTTAAAATGTTTGATCACATTTTCTTTGTCTAATTTTGTAGTTTCCTCTGGTCTTTGTGATGTTTGGCATTTATTGTGTTTTCAAAAATGATGTCAGACTAATCATATTCTAACTCCTGTAACTCTGTGCAATAGGAGTTACAGGATTGTATGAGATGCTGCTGGAGCCAAACCACGACGGAAAAATTTATGATTAAAGAGTTTATTATAAATGTTTGCAATCTCATTACTTAGGTCAAAAAATAAAATGGGAGAGAGCAGAGTAAATGAAGGGAGACAGTGTTGGAAGTATGAATGCCTGGGAAAGAATTAGATGTGTAGAAATAACAACCACACTGCACAAAGCTTTCAAAGTTTGATATTTAACACTAATATTTTTTACGTGGTTTGTTTTTTTGGGAGAGAAATAAATCTGCATTGTATCCATTTGTCTCTGCTGAGCAACCACAGACCACTAAGCTCAGGACCAGAGATTCAGTTTCACTAAAGTTTTTTAGTGAAACTAAACAATAACAATGTGAACTTTGTCAAAGAACCTGAAAAACTATACAAATGTACTTTAAACACAAAATATTTATTTCCTAGGTTCTCAAGACACCAAGATGTCACCATCTTGCCCGGAGGCTTCGTCTTTAACTAGTAAAAGTTCAGACGACAGCCAAGGCAGAACCTCAGACAAATCACTGCTGTAGCAAAAAGGTCCCATAGCTATGACTTGATTCTCTTTCACTGTATTGTATACAAACACTGTATAAATATTTCTGCTCATCTGTCTCAAAAGAAAAAAGAAACAAATGTGAACTTTGGACACTAAGTCACCAAAATCAGAGATTTCTTGAGTTTCTGCATCCAAATAAAACATCAAATCTTCTATGATCTATTTTATATTTGACCTTTCTTTTCAAATATTCTTGATATTTAGTTTCACATTGCTAAATCCAACAAAAGTTTAATATTTAAAAATATATTTGGCTGTAATTATGGCAGGAGGGATTTGATGATGTTCTCTGCTGTTCAAGCCTTTTTTTGTTTTAAAAAGGTTAAAGCTTTAAAAAAGATAATTTACAATATGTGTTGTTGGAAAATGGTTCTTTATTTGATAAACATTTAAAAAATCATTAAATCTATGATGTTATTAAGTTTGTATTTTTACAATAGTGTATCTTCTGTCATTATGTTTTTTTAAAATATTTTTATTCTTGAAAGGTAATAAGTTTTTGATGAGGTGGTACATTTTTTCAAATACAAAAATTTGATTTAATTAGAAAGTAGAAGATAATGGGGAGATACTGAACAGTTTCTGCCTCTAAATAGCAGAATGTACAGTTATTCAAAGAAAGTAAATATGAATGACCTGTGTATCTAGAAGTTGTAAAACATTATTAATTGACTTTCTTTAAAATGGAAAATATACAAATATTGGACTTTCTTCCCCCAAGCAATGTTTTTTTTTTAACTGTCTTTGTTCAGACTGATTGCATCTAGTTTTACCCTCTGCTGTTATCTGTATGCTGTTTTTGTATTTTTATCTTGTATGTTTTTCTTTTTCACTGTAAAGCACTTTGTGTATAATAAAATGTAGACGGATGATTTCATTTTCAATCAGCTCTTACTCTTATTGAACTTCTCTGTCCTGTGGAAACTGATATGAAATTGAAATGTAATTGTCTGAAACAGTTGTTTCTTATTAAGAACCAACAAAGGAAACAAATTAATTATTGATTTTATTCAGTATTGTCTCAGATCAGTAGAGATCCAGCTCATTATGGTGTTAATGAGGTTCTTTTCCGATCACTTATTGGCCATTGTAATAGCGACGGTGGTTCTGTGTAAAGAAGAAGGGAGATTTTAGGATTGGACTCCAACATCCTCCAGTAACATGTTGATGTGCTCCTGGACAAGACACTTAAGCCACAGTTGCCTACCAATCTACGTATCTGTGTATGAACTTCCACTTTTGTGTTAGTGATTGGGCGAATGCTGCTATGGTAAAATGCTCCATTAGACCATTCACATTATCGTATGCCCTACTCTACATGTATAACTGAAACACAGAAATGTGACTTTGAGTAGCTGATTTTAACCGATCTGAGCCATAAATACTTCAGTTTAAGCCTAATTCTGTTACTCCAACCTAATTATGATGGATCATCATAATAACATGAAAAAACCATGAATGCCGTAGTAGTTTGAGGAGGAGGATCTTGAGGCAATCAAAGTAAAAATCACTCATTGAGAGTTTTCTGGTTTCAAAAAAGATTGTTTTCTTGTAAAAAAAAATAACAGAAAAATCTCTGAGTTAATTTCATGCATAAATTCAAATATTAAAGTTAATTTTGTGGTAGAAAAACAGTCTCACTCCTTCACCAAACAATCAGATCAACCACAGCAGCTGCGTCTGCTTGTTAATCAGCAGGAGGCTGACCTGACAAGGAGGAGGGCCAAAGCAAAATAAATCAAAAATAAAAATAGATCATAACTTTTTACCATTAGCATAATTTTGGCTGAAGGACAATCATTTAGCAAATAATAAATTAGACTAATTCCTAATCGGGGCCAGTACCAGCTGTAGCACAGACACTGTAGTTCAATATCAAATGGCAAAAACGTCCAGTAATTCTCCACAATGTCTGGAATTTAAATATTCTGTTTGAGATCCAGTATGAGTGTAGTTGATTAAATCCTAAATCTTATTTGAAAGCAGTGGTGGGGAGTACTTAAGTACAATTTTCGTGTATCTGTACTTTACTTAAGTAGATTAAATAATGGGTACTTTCTACTTCACTACATTTCTACA